AAAATTTAATGAGATACAAACCCATTAATTATGAATATTTATAATGGCGTGGTATTTTAGAAAGTTAGTAAAAAGTTAATTTTTATTTTTTAATTCATTTTAAGTCACGTCACCTCTCACATTTTTTATTCATAAAAAAAATTAAAAAACTCAAAAACTTGCTTTTAACTAACTTTTCAAATCACCCAACGTGTGTCAATTGATAATAAATATTTTAAATCAATTATTGAACAAATTTTTTTTTTCTTATCAGTGGCATCACAGTATTTTGGATTGTTTTGAGAAATTGATTAAAAGTTAATTTTTTGACATTTTTAACTCTTTTTTAAAAACATGTAAAAAAATAAAAAAAATAATATGACATAAAATAAATTAAAAACTAAAAATTAACTTCCAACCATCTTTTTAAAATAGCCATTTCTCATTCATATTCAAGAAAGGTTCTCATATATTTTCCAGTGGGACCATGCTGTTGCTAATAATACAATGCAACCAAAGCCAATCAATCTGCAAATGACAGTTTCATGCATGGTATGATTCGATACGGTTTGAAGTAAAAATTATAATTAAATTGTGAATAAAGATTTAATAAATAATTAAATCGTATCATTTTAATTTAGAAAAAATTGGTCTAAGGTCCCTCTCCCAATTTTAGTAATGGAAAAGACCTACAATATTATATTATGATGTCTAAGGTCCCTCAACTTCCACACCAATATATCACAAAGAAAATTAACTCTCTCAAGTCAATCCTTATTTTTTTTTTGTTTGTCTAAACTCTGTCTTCTTCGCGGAGGCAGATCTTGAGTTGGACCGTGCCATGGGGGCGGTCGGAGGGGCGCTTCAAATCCAGGTTACGGGTGGCACGCTCGCCGAAGCCAACGTTGCGGAGGGGGAGGCGGGCAGAGCCGATAAAAGGCTTGGTGTTGTCTTTGGCATTGGCGTGGACTAGGTCGAGGTAGAAGGTGGAGTCCTGGATGGGAGAGTTGATAGGGATGATGAGTTTCTGATCCCAGTAGGGATAGATGTCGCCATCGTCGTCGACCCTGGTAGAGCATTTGTTGTTGAGCTCAACGCACACCACGGCGTATGGTTTCAGTCGCCCGTAACGCCAGTTCACGTTCTTCAGATCCTTCGCCGACGTCACGTTCACCTCCATTTCGTAACGGCAAGCCATTGGAAAGAAGGGATCGGTGATTGATCTGGATAATTTGTTGAATTACAGGCGGACGATTGCGTCCAAGGGGCAAAAAGGTTTGTTGAAAGAGTTTGATGAAGTTTTGGAGCATTATAGTAGCTTTTCGGTACAGAAGGTGTAGAAGAAGGGGAAGAAATTGGAGGTGTTGGATGTAACGGTTATGAAGGAGATTGTACCGGAGGATTTGGAGTCGGAGAAGAAGGAGCTGATGAAGGAGCAGTGTGCCGCGTACTGGATCACGTTGGCGCCGAATGTGGAGGATTATAGTGGGACTGCGGCAAAGCTAATGATTGAAATGGGGCAATGAGGTTTTGAGGAAGAGGATCAAACCCAGTAAAATTTATTGAGACAACTCAGTGAAATTTCAAAAAAACAAACTCAGAGAAATTTATTTAATTTTCTCTGCCTTTAATCGAGTAAAATTAATGAAGTCATATGTATGTATTTATACTGTTTGTTTGTTTGTTTTGTTTGTTTGGTACACTCAGTGAAATTTACTGAGACAACTCAGTGAAATTTCAATAAAACAAACTCAGAGAAATTTGTTCTTTGGAGAGAAATTCTCTTAGAGGTCCAGAGAAATTCTGCAGAGAAATTTCTTTGGAAAGTCTAGAGAAATTCTCTGGATGAAATTTCTCTGGATCAAATTGAGGGACTTTATACATTATAAAAATATTTGATGTCCTTTATGCTATAAAATCTTAATATCAGGGATCTTAAAAAAAAATTTCATTGATTTATTAGTTAATTAAAGAATAATTTTAAATAATTATTAAGTATTTACATAATTTACATATAAATATATAATATTAATTAATTTTATATAATAATTTTCATATATATATATATATATATTATATTAATTTATAACAAATTTAAATCTTTTGTATTTATTTTTATTTTGATATTTTATTGAAGGTTAAAAAATTGTAGAGCGTGACAATTTTAAACATAAATTTTAAATCGCGATTTAAATTCATCTTAATTAGCAGACGGATTAATATTAATCGATACGATTTTAATGGATTAGGTAGTATTTTGTATAGGCCAGTACTGAGAACTACCTCCACTCCACCTCTGCTTTCTGGTGAGCTCTCTCTCTCTCTCTCTCTCTCTCTCTCTCTCTGTTTTTGCAGTGTTTTTACTCTGATTTCAGTCACAATCAGTTCTATTCAATCAACACGTTCAGGTACTAATTTCAATTCCCCCCACAAAATCATGTATTTATTTGTATAGACATAGCAATTATTTACTTGGAATTCAGTCAAACCAGTGCAGATTTTCCATTGAAATTGTTCAAATTGTTTGCAGATTAGTACCAAGATTAACTTAGTTAATATACTCATCTAATCATCAAACGATCTGCTGTTTTTATATGATTATAAGCTTGTAGTTCAATTCTATTGTATTGGGTCAATTTTTTCTATTTTATTTATTACCTTTTCATTTTCAATTTGAAGCCCTTTTAGTTTGGTACTAATCTCTTTCCCATAAATGGAGACGTTAAACAGATTCATGCTTTTATAGTTGTAGATTTTTTTAAAAAAAATTTTCCTTTTATATATATTTTTGTGAGATTGTTTGAATTGCCAGGTACCGGTATGTGTAATTATTTTTATTTTTTTAATTGAAGAATTATTTACACATTGCATCGAAATAACATGTTGAAATCTTGTGAGTATTTAATGGTCCAATATAGTATGGGAGCCGCTATTCTCACTTCATTTTGTTCTAAATACACTCTCTTATTCGCTCCAAATACATTAATACCCTTGGAATTTTGATTTTTTCAGGGAGTTTATTTTGTGTGAAAGTGTATTAATGTAATTATGTATAATAAAAGACAAAGAAGGGAGTGTATTTAGAGCAAAGTGGGGTGGGAATAGCGGCTCCCTATAGTAATCAATTCATTCTAAGGACTTGATATACTTAGGCTTTGTTTGGATCATGATAGGGGTAGGGATTTGGAAAGAGAAAGAAAATAGTGTGTGAAATGTGGATGAAATATGCATTTGGATCATGGATTTGAAAAGGAAAAAGAAAAATATGAGTGATAATGTGAATGAAATATAGTTATATTTTACCAACCTTTCACATACATTTTCCTTCTCTCTTTCCAAATTCCTACCTAAATTCATGATCCAAATACAGTCTCAAGTAAATTATACTAAACCTACAAATGGATGGAAAATTTGGAAATGATGGGAAGGATTTGCAAATTTTGGTAACCATATTGACTCTCTCTCCATTAACACTCTCAAGTATAGTATTTAATTAATTGATTTTTAAATAATTGTACTGTGGACTGGGTTACTTATTACTGGAATGTTAGAGTCAGCTAGTGGGGGCTGTGTATATATTCAAAATAGTTTATAAAATAAAGTCCAAACAGGTTTTTCACTTTTGACTTTGATTAAACTATTCTAATAGTTTAAATAAAGTATTTTCCAAACAGTTTGTTTGATAGTTCTCCAAATGGCTACTTTTTCAAATTTGTTTGGAAGGAAGAAAACTGCTTCATGTGGTACGGGCAGTTTTTCTTCAAATTTGTCTAGATCTGTATAATGTTCAAAACTGTATCTGTTGCACCTGTTCACTACATGTAATTGCACCTGTTCGGGAGTGTGATGTTGCCTATAAATACATGGGTTTACCAACAGTCTTGGGGATGAAAAACAGTCTCATAAATTGTCTTTTTTGCTGTCCAAATTATTTTTAGTGCATTATTCTTCATTTTAGATTTTAGAATAAATATTCAGAGAGTAAGAACACAGGTTTGGTTCGCTGAACAATTTGTTTTGGAGTGCTACTACAAGTTGATTAAAGATCATTGTACCCTGGGAGATAGACGCCACTCAACCGTAAGCACCATAGCGGGGCGAATCTGTCTTAAGGACAGAGTGTCACACACTCGACTTGGTCTTAATTTTATTTCGGTTCGATAAATAAATCTGGTATGTTATTTATTTATTTTGTTTGAATTTATTTCAAATTATTTTATTTACACAGAATATTGTTCCAACAGGTATTGACACTCTAATACTCTAATTCTTTTTTACTTTGCATCATTGATTGCTGAGCTGTCCCTCATTACAGGCAATGTCCTTTGCGGCTGACTGCACCGTGGAGGAGGTTGCTTCCAGTTGCAATGCCATTCGCTTTTTTCAAACATATGTATTCTACTCTCTTCAGCTCTAGTAAATTTAAGTTTCTTCATAGGAATCTTTATCGTTCTTTAGGATTCACAGTTTGGTAATCCTCTGTTCATAGGTATGTAAAAGAAGGGATGTAACAGCTGTGTTAGTGCAAAGAGCCGAAAGAAATGGGTTCAAGGCTATTATGCTTACTGTTGATACTCCTAGGCTTGGTCGAAGGGAAGCAGACATTAAGAACAAGTGAAATTTCATTTCCTTCTCTTTCATATAATTTCCGCTACTAATACGTGCAATGTTCTTCACATTAATGAATAATTTTCTCCCTCCAATATTTGGAAATTCACTGATATTTATTATCTACAATTAAATGAACTTTTCCCCATGCATCACGTTAATGATCCAAACACAATCACTTGTTCAGAATGATTGCGCCTCAGCCGAAGAACTTAGACGTTCTCTTGTCAACTGAAGCAGTCTCGGCGAGTTATTTGTTTCCTAATATATGCATTTAAACATGCTTGCAGACAGTGTATTAGTTTGTTTTTTGTGTTAGTTGTATGATACATGGTTGCATATTTCTCTAATATTAACTGTAACCAGTCTGATACAAGATTTACAACTCTAACATTGATTACTCATTTTGCAGGATAACGGCTCAAAGTTTGCAGCTATTGCAGCAGAGACGCTTGATCCTTCTCTGTGTTGGAAGGTATAAACCATAGAGCAATAATCTGTGTGTAAACTGATAATTTGGCTTCACAGTTAACTTTTGTTGAAGGTGTTACTCTTGAGCCAAACATTTCCTTTGCTTAGAAACATCATTTAAAAAGCTGTTTTAATTGTACTGCTATATATATATGAATGTTATTGTAGTAGTTATATGTTTTAGGGACAAATTACAGTACTAGTCCCTATAGTTTACGCCTTGTGACAATTTAATCTATGTAGTTTCAATTGCAACAATTCTACCTTTTAATTTTCCATTTTGCATCTAATTTTTCCAGTTGGTAATGATGGTCAATATTTTTTGACAGAAGATAGCCCAGATGCTCTTCATGTGCCCATTCTTCATAGGCAAAATGGAAAAATAAACAAAAATTTAATTACACAGGTGGTCCATGTAGTTTGCCTATTGTGTCAATTTGGTCCCATTTTTGTCAAAAATAGTCTACAGTTATCAATTGGAATTATAGGGGCTACTACAATAATTTATCTGTGTTTTAGTAATTTGGAACTATAGGGACCAAATTGGCATAAATTTGCCTGTGTTTTAGTCATTTGAGGTCTCTCACAAGTTCACACAGTTGATGGAGCTGAAAGCCACCACCAAAAATATTTCTGTTGGTGTGTTTGCATATTTAAAATAATTGATTTTTTGGACGGTAAATACAGAAGTCATCAAGGTCATAAATTGATTTCCTTTATGTTAAATCTTACTCAAAACTTTGCAGGACATAGACTGGTTAAGGTCTGTCACTAGTTTGCCAATTCTAGTCAAAGGGGTCCTAACAGCTGAGGATGGTAAGCTCATGACTCTGTTTAGATGTTTGTATCTCTCTAATTTTTCTTTTTGACTTTATAAATGAGAGACCTCTTCACAGGAGCTGAAAAATCAATCAAAGTTTTTTTTTTTCTTTTCAAAATCAATATAAGGGCCACAAAACAAAAAACCATTTAATTTGAAGAATTTCTTGTTTTTATGTTTATTTCTAGATGGAATAGCTATATAGGACCCCTATATTTTTGGATAATATGCGCTTCAGCAAACCCATTTAAAATTTTCTTGTTTCATAGGTCTTGAATATTTCTTGTTTTCTACTAATGTTTATTTGTGAGAAACAAAAATTGCTGATGATCTGGTATGCTACTCTTGGCAGCAATAAAAGCTATGGAAGTAGGGGTTGCTGGGATTGTTGTCTCTAACCACGGAGCTCGCCAACTGGATTATTCCCCAGCCACTATCACTGTTCTGGAAGAGGTATCTTTCAGTCTCTTCTCTTCATACTTGATGCTGTCCTATGCAGATATGCCAACAAATTGAATTCAAATATATGCCCTTCTATGATTCTATAGTAACAATATCATGTGGGACATGGCGGATTTGCATAGAATTTATGTTGGTTTTTCATGGTGTTCAAAGAAACAAGAGATTGTAGCGCAATCCACTGCAGAAGCAGAGTTTATTGCAGCAACTGCAGCAGCAAACCAAGCTCTATGGCTAAGGAAAGTTCTATCTGATTTACACATGGTGCAAAATGAAGGTACTGAGATTTTTGTTGATAATCAAGCAACAATTGCAATTTCACGAAATCCAGTGTTTCATGGAAAAACAAAACACTTCAACATCAAGCTCTACTTCTTGAGGGAAGTGCAACAAACTGGAAAAGTGAAACTTGCTTACTGCAAGTCTGAAGATCAGCTGGCAGATTTGTTCACAAAGCCACTTCCAGTTGGCAAGTTCGAGTTACTAAGGAAGATGATTGGAATTTGCAGCGCCTAAAGCAAGGAGGAGTGTTAATAATTTGCTTCAGGACTGCTACGTTGAATTTTTCTTTGATTAGTTTCAGTCAATAACTAGAATTTGTTTTTCCAGTCAATAAGTCGTATTCTTTAGGATATTGTTAGTGTTATCAGAAATCTTGGTTTGTTACCATAATTTTTGGGATTCATTATCTTTTCAGTTCAGATATTCTTACTATAAATGTAATGCACCAGTATGAATGAATATAATCATTCTTTGCTGCATCATATCAGCTTTTATCATTTCCTGTTTTTTATTCTTTCATTTCATTCAATTTCTATTCTTCATTTTTCCTGTTTTTCTTCTCTTCTCAAAAACTAACAGTAAACACTGGCCATGTACTTTTGAAATTCTGTGCCTTTTTGTAGTGTGTTTTAGTGGAATAGTATGCAATTTTTTTTGTGCATCAATTTGTTCGGAAGCATTTCAATGCAAACTCTGATGAGGCCAAACTGCTTTTCCGATTCCTAATTTTGCGATTTCATTTATACTGCTGAAGATTGGAAGGCCAGTCCTCTATGGATTAGCAGCAAAGGGTGAAAATGGGGTGCGACGAGTCATTGAAATGCTGAAGGATGAGTTGGAGCTCACCATGGCCCTATCGGGCTGCCCTACCGTGAAGGATATCACCAGAAGTCATGTGAGGACAGAGTACGATAGATTCAACTGTAGGCTTTAGTTTAGATAAAGTTCTAAGTTGTTGTCGTTGTTGATGTTATTTATCTTAGATATGCTCATACTGATATCGTTGTTGAGGTCTATGTATATAGGAGCCTACTTTTCACGAGCCTGTTATTTTTTGTCTGGTGTGTCTTTAACAGTGCTTCTGTTGAGCTGCTTATGAAATATTTTATTTTGAAAGTGGATACTAATGCATGTTTTAACTAAATTGCTCTTATGGTTTTCTCTGAAGGCATTGATTCGGAAGTGGGCCCCTGTTGCCATTGTGATTGGAGCTGCCGTCCTTCTCTTCTGGGTGAGAGAGAAAATTTGGTGATCTACCCATCCACTTGTTTTGCGAGCTTTGTTTTAGTTTCTCCAGGTTTCTGTCTGTTGCCCGGGGCTGCTTGTGAGAATTCACATTCCAGAGACTGCGTATTGAGTGCCTGATCTGCACGAATGGTTTTAAAAAAAAAAGAAAAATTTATCTTTCTAGTGTTGAATTTAAAAGTACTGGGTTTTTGGTACCTTATATAGATGGGGACAATCAGGCCATGTGGAAATTTGATGGAAAGACCCTGATAAATGAGATTGGATTAGGAGCCAAGACATTAATGAAAATATATATTTGTTCTTGGGCCTTACATAGAACTTGGTTACTAATATACTCCATTAAATACTCTTTTGAAGTGTTGTCTTTTTTACTTGTATTGCATCTGATAGATTTTACTGAAATGGTGAATGAACTCTGATTCAAAAATTAGCCATAACAAACAAAACATCACATCCAACCCATAATCATTACATTCTTCTCTCACAAAAAAAGCCAAAAAAGTCAAAAAGCCAAAAAGCCTTTCCCAAACCAAGCTTTTTAGCCCAGGCTAAAATAGCCAAAAAAGCCAAAAAGCTAAAAAGCCAACCCACTTCCCAAACGGAGGCTAAATACTCTTTTGAAGTGTTGTCTTTTTTACTTGTATTGCATCTGATAGATTTTACTGAAATGGTGAATGAACTCTGATTCAAAAAATGCTGCATGACTAAAGTCAACAATGGGAAGAAAAAGAAGGAACTGTGTTGAGATTTAGAAGTGGCTTTTACAATGCATTTTACAGATGCTCCAAGTATTGAAAATTTTGAAATACAATTTTGCTATTGAACACAAAAATGGATTACAGGACTAGACACAAAATATATATTAATAGACAATATTCTGTATTTGTTGATGGATTCACAGTTAAAAAATCTTAACCATCAGTTTTATAATTAGTTTGTGTTTTTAAATTTATTATCAATTGCATTCGGTTTCTATGTTTTTAATTCTTTGCGTATGTGATGCGTTTTTAGTGACTTATATTATACTGTACATAGTTTAAATGAAACAAGACAAAATTACAAAAAAATTATAAAAAGAAAAAAAACACAGAAAGAGAAACGATCAATAGAGAAGTAATACATAAAAAATTATATTATTATTATTATCTTTTTTTAAGTTGAAATTATATTATTATTGTCATGGTTTTATAGTTGAAATTTGGTTGGACAGAGGTTTGTACCTAATAATCAATTTTAATAGTTTAATGTGTTAATTATTAAACTTGATAGAGTTTAAGGGGTAAAGTTATACAAATTTTTTTTGAGGGGCAAAAAGAATTTTTTGGTCAAACAATTGTAATATGGTTAACAAACAATTTTGGACAGAGAGGAGTATTTTCGAAAGGGGTATGGCTTCTGTCCAGTCTAGGATCGGATAGGACTATGCTGTTGGGTCCGTGGAGACCTATCACAGGTCCCTTTTGATAATCTGAACCGTTCGATGTGTAAAACTCGTCGAGTACTATATGCCTTTAAAAAATCAAGTTGATCGGATATCGATAGCTATATGATCAAATTAGTTTCGTATTTAAAAAATTGGACGGTGAACAAATCAACGGTTGACAAAAAACTGTTTTGATCACATAGCTATCAATATCCGATCAACGTGATTTTTTACAAGCATATAGTACTCGACGATTTCTACATATGAACGGTTCAGATTATCAAAACAGGACCTGTGGTGGGCTCCCATGAACCCAACAGCATAGTCTAATCCGATCCCGGACTGGACAGAAGCCATACCCTTTTGAAAGTTTAAGGTGTTTATAGTTTTTTTTAAACTAAAAGGTGTTTATAGTTGAAATTGATAGTTTAAAAATAATGTAACATAAGTGTCACAGTTTTAGTGGACAAAATAATTTTTTGTTTTAAATTCTAAACAGTGTAAGAGATTCAAGTCAATTTGAACTAAACTCACGCTGATTTGGTATAATTTGAATTGAGGTCTAGCCGAGCTCAAACGTTTCTATTTGTTTTGGAAAAATGATTAAAAATTAATTTTTTTATTTTATTTTTTTAACATTTTTTTAAAAAAATATGTAAAAAAATGTGAAAAATGATGTGATTCAAAATGAATTAAAAGTTGAAAAATAATTTTTAACTATCTTTCCAAAATAACCCTAAAATGAATTAAATTAACTTCAACACTGCACTAGTCGACTTTATTTGTATTGCACCTCGAAGTTTAAAGTAATGCTATATAAATAGAAAATTGAGTAATGCTAGAAGTCTCAAATAATCTATTAAATATTTTACCAAACCTCTCACATGGGTATGAGACCCATACACATTGGTGTGAGTCCCACACCCATGTGAGAGATTTGATAAAACATTTGGTAAATCATTTAGAGTCTAGCATTTTCCTAGAAAATTTTCACGTAATTTGTATACAAAATAATATGATTCAATATGAATCTTTTATTTTAAAATAAAACATTTAATAAAATATTTTTTATTCATAAAATTGATATTCTCACATCATTCTTGTCATATATTTCCGTTACTATTCATTTGTTTGAGTGGAAAACATATTCCACGAACTTTTTTTTTTTTTGTAAAAATATTTTCTCTAGAAACATTTTTCTATGTTTGGTCGTGATGTGGGATGAAGGTAGAGGTGGTCGCGAAGGTGGTGGGGTGGGAGTGGCAGTGATGGTGGTGGTGAGAGTGACGATGATAATATAATAATATTTGATAAGAGTTTAATCAGGAGTTCAAATAAATTAGTTTTCTGTTAATCATAAAAAAATATTTTCTATTGATTTCATTTTTTATTATACCGAATGTCAAAAATGCTAAAAAATATGTTTCAAAAAATATTTTCTCCCCAACCAAACGGGGCGTTGTCACATGCTGGCATGAAATCAAAGAAACTATACGCACTTCCAAAGATTTATTTTTGGAAAACAAAAAAAATCCCCCATTTTCAACGGTCATATGTTTCCATTCAAAAACCGTAGCAAAGCTCTTCCCATAACCATTTCAAGAAGCAGAAACTCCAAAAGATTTGGCAAACACTAGGTCTAGAAGATAGGAGGGTTTTGTTCGTAATCAAATTCCAGCACTAAACAATGGAGATTTCTGAGCAGAGTGAAGTGGCAGCAGAGAAATTTCACTACAATGAAGAAGATGAATCCGAATATGAAGAATGCGATTCTGATGATTCAGATGAAGATCCAACATTTGAGGTTGTCGATAAGATTCGATGTAGATTTTCAAGGCTATCCACCAAGAACAAACCCAAATCACGGTGAGTCTCAAATCTCAATATATACTCATATTTATACATATGCATATAAGATGTTTGATTTTATGTGTAGATGAGATTTGTTCGATTTAATTGCACTTATAATTAATGTCTCAATGTGGGATCAAATGGGTCTTCTTTGTTTTTGCAGTAACATTAAGGAAATGGAGGAGGGTAATGAAGAGGACCCAGATGTAGTAGTAGAAATGGTTGTGCCAGAGCTTGGTGAAGAGGATCAGAAAAGTTTTGAGGCTGTTCAAAAGATCATAGAAGGTTATCCCAAAACTTTTATTTTCTTATTGATGGGTTATAAATTAGAAAGTGTATCTAAATTTTTGATGATTTTGATGAATGAAAAAAATGAGTTGAATTTGATAATTGTTAGTAGCAGTTAATAATATATATGGACATTTGATAACCTTCTTATGAGTTGTGCTTTATATAATAGTATAGATGCTCTTATCAAAATGTTATTTTTTGATGGCAGTTGGACAGGTAGAGAAGCTGAAAGTGGACCAATGCAAGGTTTATTTGAGGAAACATGGATTGAGGTTGACAGGGAACAAAGATATCCTCATTGAGCGCATTAAAGAGCATCTGGAGTAATATTTCATTTTTGGGTTGTTTTGCTTAATGATTTGTAGAAATACATCTGCTTCTTGAATCAAAAGATGCTTTCCTAATTATTTCAATTCTGGCTGCACTTCATCATTCTCAGAGGTGGTGGAGAGAAGAAGTATCCAATATCAAGCTTCGTATTGAACTGCAAAGGTATACATTCCTTAAATGCTGAATTTTCTTTATTTCATTCCCCCCTCCCTGTTCTGAAATACTTTGTTTCATAGACTCGGGCATAATGTAAGTTTTGGGTGTGAGTTTGTGTTCAAGCGTCATATTGTCTTAAACCTAAATCTTAAGATATTGCATATGCATCCAAAAGTTGGGTATGCAAATTGTACAGTATTCTTAGATAAGGTGTTGCAAATTATTTAAAAAATTTGTTTCATAGACTCAGGTATAATATAAGTATTGGGTGCAAGTTTGTGTTCAAGCGTCACATTGTCTTAAACCTAAATCTTAAGATATTGGCATATGCATCCAAAAGTTGGGTATGCAAATTGTATAGTATTCTTAGATAAGGTGTTGTAAATTATTTAAAAAATGTACTTCAAATTAAATTGGATTTAAGGAAAATTTAGATTTTTACCTCCCAATCGTTGAGAAGCTATAAATTGTTTCTTTTTCTTCTTCAAACATATAAAAATTTAGAGGATCCAAGTGTCTAAATTGAGTACAAGTGTTGGACGCATACCCCCATGCACTAATCCCGGTCATAGCTGGTGGAAGTGTACATGAGGAGAAGTGGAAGAGACCATGTAATAGCTGATGGATTTTTCTTTTGTGTATTTTACCTTTCATGGATTTATTTCTTTTCTCAATTTAAAAAAGAATAAAGGAAAAAAATTAGAGCTCATGGACTAGTGGACCCCAAGTCATATCATATGACCCTAGAACCAGTTAGGCAATCTAGACATTCATTAGAGTATATTTGTGATTAAGTGACTGTGACTCACCATAATTTTAAAAGGTGGGGAAAATCTTATAATCAACTACATCTCACTGAAATTCTAGACTTTTACTCCATTCAAAACACAGCACACTGGTCGGGGAGAGCACTGTGCTTCACATTGTTAGGCAAATTATCAGATTCGCCATCCAAGCAGATCAATTAATTTTGTATTTCACATCCATTTTGAGAGCTCAGTTTTCATGTCAAGAGTAATCACCTTCAAATCCATTTTTATGCTTTCTGACTAATAATTGGTTATTTATATGCAGGTGATGCATGCACAGGAGATGTTGTTATGTTTGAACAAAATGTTTATGAAATGTGAGTATTTTTGGCAATTCTTTATGCACTTGTCAAAGGAATACTTTAATGAAACCTATTGCCTCTAACTTGGTAGCAGGAAATAAAGAAGATAGTGTGGGATTGATACTTTCAGATTGTTAAGTTATAACACCACTTGTCGAATTGTATTGCTGGAAGTGTTCATTTGATGGTTGAAGCTTGGAACTATCTAAATGCATAAAGGAGAATGTAGAATATCCTTAGATGGTTGTACCTTGTGATTGGTTGCTTTGAGCATTACCACATGAAAAGCAGAATAAATGAATTGTGTGATTACTATGTCCAGTTATTTCCCAACCTGCCTTTTGATTTGCCATGTTTATTTTTTGCAGGTTCAACATTGCATCTCGAAGTGCTAGTGGTCCTCCATGTGGAAAGAGGATTGTTGCAGGCCGCATCGTGAAAGAAAGCTATGGTGCTGCAAAGCAACAGCATACATTCACCGTGAGCTTACAAGCCTACCTAACTTAGATTAAATACAATGTGTGCTATGTTTATACTTGCTGTATTGTATTGATTAGTGAACTGTGAATTTTCTTCACTACTGGTGTCAGATTGAAGTCCTATGGAGTGAAGGAGAGAAACCACTCCCTCCACTTTATCCCCTCTTAATCAAGGGCAGAAATCTTTATCGGTTAAAGACAATGAGACAGGTTCGTCCCACATTAACGGTTTATGTTCTTCACCATTATCCATTTATCATTCAAATTATGTTCTTAATCCATAATATCAACTTCAGAGATGGGAAAATGAAGGCGAAAGGCAGAAAATGATATCCGAGAAGCATGCTAGAGGCTCTCTTGCTCGATCAAATAGGGAAGCACGTATACAATTGAAGGATATGAAGAAGGCCAGCACTTCAGTCCCAATTGTAAATGTGCCATCACAAAGGATTCAGCAGTGGTGTCAGAATCATGAACCAATCATGAAATCTATTCCTTCACATTGTCAGTTCCAAAGGCAGAGTCATGAGGGTAATAATCCTTTAAGAAGGCCTTTGACAAACATGAACTGTTCAATACAATCCAAAGATCCATATCCATTTGGATCCTGTCCTGGTTCAATGAGTCCACTACGAAGTCACAATCATGAGCGAAGCATGTTTTGTCCTCTGAGGAATCCAATTCAAAGGCAAGGTCCTGAACGAAGCGTGAATCCTAATTCTTCAAGGCATGCCCATAAAGGCAACATGAATTTCAGTCCAACGAAGGGTCCATTCCAAAGGCAACTTTGCCGATTCTATGCTCAAGGAAGGTGTCATTATGGAGATCGATGCAAGTACCTGCATGAATATAGAGGGAATCAGAATTATGGCGAAAGAACGGATGAAAGGTGGCCATCTGATCTTCGGTATTACTAGCAAAAACTCTTGGACTAAAAATTTGCAGGTTGAAAATGGGTTTCAGCTATCTTGCTGATTTTTGTTTTGTTGGAACTATTTGGAAGTGTAGTTTTTTGCAGTCCTCCATACGTTTGAATCTCTTGAAATTTACCCAAAAGCAAGTTTGAATATTGCTAATTTTGGTCTACATTCAATGTTGAAATTAAGTATCACTTGGAAGGTTTTAGTTGGGATTTGATCTTACATTCAAATAGGAATGTAATCGGTTTGGTACAATCGGTATTTAGATAAATTTGTCCACCCAATCGATAATGTCGGTTTTATTATTTTGAGTATCAATACAAATCTCTTCTCCCATCAAATCGCACTAATGGAAGCGGTTCAATTTAATAAATACTTTACAATTTTTAGATTAACAAAAATACAAACAAAAATAATAATAATTAATACTAGACTTCAAGAATAATGAGTTAGAATTAAAAATTATATATAATAAGGTTATCATAACTTAGGTTATAGGGATGATAATGTTAATTAATTGAGATTAATAATTTATTATATTTATTAATATCATTATATTATTAAATTTTATATGTATTATAAATGGAATATATGTTGAAGTGGTTGATTTCGGTTAAGTTTGGTGCATAAAGTGCTTAATCCGATACCAAACAGAAAATCGGAAAAAATCAAATTAAAACATCGTACGAACTAATTCTTATTAAAAAACAGACTAAATACGGCTATTTCGGTCCAGTTTAATTGGTTTGGTTTATTTTTTCGATTTTTTCTTACATCCTACATTCAATGTTGAAATTAAGTATTACTTGGAAGGTTTTAGTTGCATTTTGAGTTGGGATTTGAGCAAGAGGTTGGCTTTTTGTGGCTATCAAATGCCAATATATGTGGCATTTTAGTCCTGACCTCAAGAACTATTAAGTGCTACCAAAGTAAATATGCGGAGTACTTTAATTGTAAATTGGTGGTGCTACATGTACTAATTAGTGTACATATTAATGTACCAACTAGTGTTATGATATCATTAATGACCCTATTTATTATACAAATTACAAATATCCAAAACCTTTAAAATTATACCATATCATCTGTTGGTACACTAGTGTGTACACTAATTAGTACATATAGCATTGTGGGAGCCGAATAGTTTTATATGTGGGAAAGCCAAATATATTTGACGGAAATCAGGACAAATATTATTTGGCTTTGTCTTGGGGGGTTCTGAAGCCGAATAATTAAATCAGCCGTAGAATCAACCTCTAGCTGCTTATACGGAATTGGCTGCTCCAATACCACATTAGCTGCTACTATAGCTTTGAGCCAGCCATGTTTAAATCCCCGATTTTCAAATTTAGGCATTTCCTCCACATATTTCTCCAAGGCGGCGACCTCGTTGGCATTGAACGCTTTGGAAACCTCGGATTCGGCAATTTCTCTCGCCTTCCTCGATTCTTCCAAATCGGCCTCCAGCTTCGCAATCGCTTCCTTGGCTAACTTTAGCGCCTCTTCGCTAGCATTTGCTCTATCTTTGGCGGCAACTCTGAGAAGATTTGAGCGTTTAGCCTTCTCTTCCTCTGCATCGACCCTTGCCCTCTTTTCTTCTGCCTTCTTGGCTTCAGAGTCGGCCCTGAGGGATGCCACTGCCAGTCCGGTTAATGCCTCTTTAGCCTTATTCTTTTCAGTTTCAATTTCGGCTTTGAGAGAGCCGATTTGCTCAACAGCGTTGTAATGTCGGCGGCCGATCTTCGCGATCCTGCCCACCGTCTGAAGCAAAGCACACATAAGTTAATTGGCATAACAATAACGATGAAAATAGTATTAAGTATACATACCAGTATCGTCGACTGATCAGCTAGCACTATCAACACCACATCCGGCTCTGCACGGAACACAACCCTATCAACCGGCAAGGATATCGATGGGGCCACACTTAGCGCCACAGTGGGGTCCTTTAAAGCCGATGCATTAGAAGAAACCGTGTTTTTATTTTTGGTTGGATAATAAACGGCGCTGCAATATCCTGCGATTCATCCACGCGTGGCCGTTTGTCGACTAGCTTTTCAGAAAGATCGGCCCCAAACTCAGCGGGGCGTTTTTCCCCTATTTGTTCAGCCAACTAATTGTCCGATTGGCCAATAGCCGACTCCTCTATAATAGCTTGCTCCATTTCTTCAACAATAGTTTGAGAAATTACAGCCTCAACCAGAGCCAAAGGAAGAGAGTCAGTCTGAATAGGTGGGGGCTCAAACCCGGCGGCCTTGGCTTTTCTTCGAGCTGGAGGAAGAGAGTCAGTCTGAACAGGTGGTGGGGGCTCAGACCTGGCGGCCTCAGCCCTTCTTCGAGCCGCCATCTTCTTGGCATTCTTTTTCCTAGCCATCTGTGCAAGCGACTCACCGGCCATATCTTTAGGTTCCGTGCCAGGAAGATCTCCTAAGTTGGTAAAAATATCGTTGTCCAACGATATGTCAACCCGCCCTGAAGTGGACGGGGAGTTAAGGCCGACCTCTTCAAAAGCCGAGTTGAGAGCCGGGTCAACTTCCTCCAAATCATCTTCGTTTGGTTCAGTGACTCCCTCACGGACTTCACCTTGCTCCAAATCCGAATCTCTGACACCAATTTCCTTAAGATTCTTGTAGTTCGGGAAAATAAGTGCCATGAGCTATTGTTTGCCCTTCAAGATCAGAATGTGATCTGCAGCCGAAAAAGTGGCATACGTAGGTTCGTATCGCAACAGTATATGGGCGGCCCGCCCTTGTTTTTGAAGGTTTGGATGGCCAAAAAATTCTAGTGTTGTTTTGACTTGTTGAAGTATGACGTCGTCAGCCGAAGGAAGTACTTTCTTCAAATCGTTGCCTGCACTAGGGGTGGGCGCGGGTTGGTTACGGCCACGGAACCTCCAATCCGCCATCCGTCCGCTAGATTGGTGGATTGGAGAAAATCAATCCACATCCATTCGCCAATCTGGTGGATGTGGATTGAGCAGATTGGCGGTTTGGCGGATAGATGTGAATTTTTATAAATTTTCAACATAATTCAACTTGTGCACTTCCTCATAAAAAGAAAAAAGAAAGTATTAGAGTTAATGACTTAAAAAAATATTACAATCACTACATGCCTCATCCAAAGCAAGAAAGTTTGAAACTTTAGAATATCACAATCACTGCATGCCTCATCCACATACTAAAATGACAACATGCCTCATTTACATAAAGTATTACAATCTGTGGTTCTTAAAATATAAAAATAATTCAAACCACCAAAATCATGAACATAGTAGTAGCAGAGATTGTATGTCTCTGTATTGTTACATCTATATCTATTTTTGAAAACAAAAACCAACCAGCATATATCATATTTTCTATTTATTATTTTTAGAAATAGATTTAAAAACCAAAAAATATAGATAAATAATACGTTTATTTTTTTCAATTCAAAAAAGATATTCAAATTAAAAACTTTTTTTCAATAGAATATTTAAACTCTTTTTTAATTAAAAACACAAACAGAATATTTAAACAAATTGAAAACACAAAATCTTATAAATCACTAGGTGTGCTCGTGGTTTGGTGGTTCGGTTGTGGCCAAAGGAATCTCAAATCCGTCATCCGTCCGCTATATTGGCGGATTGGAGAAAATCAATTCGCAGCCGTCTGCTCGTCATCACGCATCCGTCCAAAATGCAGCAAATCGGTTCGGTTTGGTCAACTAAAAACAAACAAGGAAATGGGAGTTGAAATAGAGAAGATAAGAACTTACAAAAAGTAGAGAGGACAATGAGGAACAGGAAGAAGTTGCAAAGGTCGGGAAATGAAGAAGGTATACTGACAGGCAACCAAGAAGCTTTGCGTATTCAAAAAATATACATTCGAAGGGACAACACGGTTTCAAATTGCATTAAATGAATAAAGCGTACGAAGGGACGAGAAATTATAATGATTTCTAAAAAGCGAAGACGTTCTAATGCTTGAGTGTTGGAAAGAGTATAACCGCCCGCTGTATTTTTGGCTCTCCGAGTTCAAGACCAAACATGTCGACTAACTGACATTAGTAGGATGTTTGGGGGGCAATTGTGAGAGTCGAATAGTTTTATATGTAGGAAAGCCAAATATATTTGAAGGAAATCAGGACAAATACTATTCAACTTTGTCTTGGGGGGTTCTGAAGCCGAATAATTAAATCAGCCGTACAAGGAGCCGAGCGGGAATGGGCACACGTCAGAAAGGTCGAGTGAGTAATTGTGTGCTGGATTAAAAATGGGTCCGACCCCTGAGACCAGGGACGAGTATAAATAAGAGGAGTATCAACCAAAGAGAGGTATGTGAGAATAGATTAAATAAACTTAAGACACAAGCAAACGAGAGAGCCTATACTAACTTATCTGTCGGGGTGCTAATTCCGACACACCTAACCGGAGTGTTAATCCTTTTTCAGGTGGCAATAAGAGGATCAGCATCGTCCTACAGGATCCAAGAGTATTGTCAAACCACTTCTCTACAAGCATTATTCGCAGTAAATTTATGTGGTGTTTCTAAGGTAACATGAGATCTGAATAATGTTATATGTACTAATTAGTGTGTTAATTATTGTACTAATTGATGATGTAGCATAATTTAAAATGTTTTTAATATTTATAATTTATATAATGAGTGGAATCAATAATAATGTCATAACTAATATTGGTATACTAGTTAATATATTAATTAGTGCATGTAATATCACCGTTGATAAATGGTGCGGAGTTTTGCTCGAGGAACACCCAATGAACCATTTCGTATGAATTATTTTTGTACATGTAGCACAAATGTTAAAAACATAAATATAAATAAATATGGAAAAATAAAAGAAAATTGTAAAACAAACACGCTGATAGCCACAAACACGTTCTGTTGTAACACATTAAGAACTTTGAAAGTTGAGTACATTTTATGGGCAAAAAGAATGTATAACATTTTAAACTCATTTAACATATATCTTAAGAACAGAAAAATTATGGTACACATGTGTATTATATGAAAATAGTATAATTTTATACTTTTTGATTCATAATTAAAAAAAAAACAATTGTCACAATTAAACATAATATAAGTCATAATTAAAAATCTCATAAATTATAATTAAAATAATGTCATAACTACAAAAAAATATTATTCATAACTAAAGAAAAAAATA